TCTAGCAAATATCTAAGTAGCACGCCTCATACGTTCTTTCTCCTTATAACTCCAACAATAATTTTTTTGCCAGATAAAAGGTTATTAAAATATTCATTCCTTTTTAACAATATGTGAGTGAAGAATTTAAAAATATAGATATTTTAACCAAGAAGAGGAGTGTAACAGATTGAGTGCAGAAAGCAGATAGGAAATCCACACACAGAGTTACCACAGTAACCATAACCGAAGGGGGCTTGAGCGGCTGTGCTGACAGAGTGGATTTCAGAGCAAAATATGTTACCAAGAAGGAAGAGGGTCGCTTCGCAGCAAAGGCGTGCATGTGATTTCACACATTTGTGTGTGTAATGACCTCGCTTTAAACCCCATGGAGCGAAAACTGATGAAACTGCACTGAGAAGTAGATCCACGATTGTACACTTCACTGCCTCTCTCTCAATAGCAGATACAATAAGTGGTAAGAAAATCTGTAAGGATGCCGAAGACTGGAACAACTCTATCAACCACTTGACCTGGTTGGCAACGATAGACCCCTCCACCCAACGCTGACAGAATATATGTTCTTGTCCAGCGTCCATGGAATTTCGGCCCAGATAGAGCATGTTCTAGGCCGGAAAACAATTCTCAATAAATTTAAAAGGATTTAAATAATAGAAAGTATGTTCTCTGACCTCAAAATGTCCTATATGATCTCTGAACACAAAAATTCTTCGGAAAGCCCTTAGATATTTGGAAACTAAATAGCACACTTGTAAACAACTCGTGTGAATCAAAGAAGTAATTTGAAGAGAAAATAGAAAGTATTGTGAACTGTCAAAAAGGAAAACATAAAATTAATGAGATGCAGTCAAAGCAGTTTTCGAGTGACATTTATAGCACTGACAACTCACATTAGAAAAAAAAGGACTTAAATTATAGCTTCGATCTTAAGAAATGAAAAAAAAGGGCAGACAAATCCGATCACGATGGGAGAAAGACACTAGTGAGAGACCACAGCAGAAATCAATGGGATGTAAGACAAGAAAAACAAATAGAGAAAAATCAGTGAAAGACAATTTTTTTTTGAGAAGATCAATACATTGACACATCTCTAGTCAGATGGGTCAGGTGAAACAGAAAACACAAATCGCCAACATCAGAAATTAGAACTGTGATATATTGATTTAAATGACAGTAAGGAAATATTATTAATAACATTATGCTGGTAAGTTTGATGAAGTTGAAAAATGAGTTGAAAGATACAGATTATCGAAGCTTTCTCAAGTGGAGACATTAACTTGAGTAGGCCTATAAGCAGAAAATAAGTTCAATTTGTCATTTAAAAACCTTCTCATAATAAAATTTCTCTGACAAATCTCCCAAAACTTTAAGAAATGTGTATTACCAATTCTAGGCAAACTCTTCCAGGACATTCAAGGATAGAAAATATTTTCCAATTAAATTTATGAGACCAATACTATGCTGACAGCAAAACCAGATTAAGTTTACAAGTAAAGTCTATAGGCCAATATCACTTATGAACGTGCATGCAAACAATCTAAAAAAATAGCAAATCAAATCAAACAGTATGTAAAAAGGATAATAAATCATGACCAAATGAATTTTATCCCAGAATGCAAAGTCAGAAAATCAATGTTATTCGTCGTATCAACAAATAAACAAAAAGATCACCTCGATACATGTAGAAAAATTTTTGATAAAATTTTATATCCATTTCTGGTAAAAATTTCCAACAAACTAAAAATAGAAGGGTACTCCCTCAACCTGGTAAAAGGAATCTATGAAAAACAACTAATATTACTCTGAATGATGAAAACCATGTTTCCTACCTAAGATCAGGAATAAGACAAGAATATCTCACCAGTTCTGATCAACCTGGTAATACACGTCTTAGCCAGTGCCTTCAGCGAAGAAAAGAAGTAAAAGATATTCAGATTGGAAATAAAAAATAAAACGGCCTTTATTCACAACAGACAAAATCATCTAGGGAGAAAGTTCTATGAAATATCCAAAAAAGCGACTACATTTAACTTAGCACAGCAATGTGTGTATATGTGGCAGAAATATTTCACACTTATATATTTAATTCTAGAGAAAATTGAATCACTTGAATCATTTTCCCAGCTGTTATATTATCTGATTGCCATGAACTCGGGTCTTATAAACAAAATAGAGACTACCCAGGAACCTAAGAAAGAGAAAGACTGGAAGTCTCATCGGAGATCAGGCACGCCACCTCTTCCTTGACGGGCCACGTGGAGGTCCAGCCTGGCTTTTCCCCAGGTGTCCCAACGCAGCCCTCAGAGCTAGTGCTTACCCTGAAGTCCAGCTCCTTCAGAAGCACGGCCATTATGAGGAGGAAACGAAGTCAAGGGCAGCATGTTCCCCTGCGACAATGATAAGCCTTTCGTCGCTGCTCCGGTACTAAACAGAGACTGGTACCCAGCGTTTCTGAACTCCTTGCTAACTTTCGAGGATGAGGCAGTTCATCTACCTTTCTTTACCAGACGATGCAGTTCGAATCACATGCACCGTCAGATAGGATTTAATTCACTTTCTTTTAAAACAGAGCTCTGCCAAATAGGCTAAAGAAGTTGCTAGATTCCTGGGAAGAATTTCCAGGAGGACAGTACCGATGGACACTTCGCTTCCTACGCAAGAGCATTCGCCAAATACGCGTTGGGCTGCTTGGTGTGCCGGCCGCCATTTTGGTCACTAAGGAGGCAGAGGTGAACGAGTCACTGTCCCGTCTCCTGGAGAAGCTTCGGTTGGTGGAAGAATGATGTGCGAACACGTAGCGAAAATGCATTGGCCCGAACCCTGAATGAGGGATGCGCTGAGGTCCTTGGAAACGAGGCACGTGGACCATTTTTTCTTGGGTGAGGGGAAAATGAAGGAGGCGACTTTAGAGATAAGAAAGGAATATACAGAACAGAACGCTCTATGGGTTACAGCACGAATGTGTACGTCACCTATCTGCTTCGTTTTCAAAAGCAGTAATGTCCCTGAATGCCTTCACTGACGCTGTGCTACACGCTAACTGCAATCGGCATCCTTTTCGTTAACTGACCCGGCACCACTGGACACAACCCTTCCTCGGGGAGCTTCTTTGAGCTGAATGGAGGATGCGAAGATGGACGGGCAGGGGGAGGGGCAGCGGAGGCGGAGCCTGCGAGCTGGTGCCATCCGCGCTCCAGCCAGGCCCTGGGGGCGGACGCAGGTGCATCTCCAGGCAAACGCAGCCTTCTCTCAGCTTCTATCACGCCTTTTCCTGCTCCCGCTGAATCCTTCTGAAAGAGTAAGTCTCCGAAAAGTCACCTGCATAAGAATCTCCATCTCGGGCTCTGCTTCGAAGGAACTTAAATTAAAACACTGACTGTTCCCGAATGTATTACTCGAAGTTTGCGATATTGAAGTTATCGCCATTCCAATTTCCTATTCCTTTCAAAGCACAACAGACACGACCAGCCCGTGAAAAGCACGTCAGTGTCGAGCAGCTCCGAGAACCAGCTTCTACCGTGGTGTACACACTCATGTGTAAACGCACACACGCGTACACACAGACACACGTGCACACACAGAAGGCGAAATGATAGTTTACGTTTGTTTATAATTCTATGGAAATCTGTACCTGTTTCCTTTCTATGTAAAAACAGATCGCTTTACCAACTTCATTCCAGCCCCCCAAGAAAGACAACTTTACTCCCCCTCCTTCCTTTAAAAAATGCCGTCGCTTCTCACGTTTCCCTGAGAAGGGATAAACCTCCCTTCATCCTTCTCGAACGGTATCACTACTTTCTTTCAACTTTCAGTTCACTCTAACAGGCTGAATTCTCTACGCATACATTTTTCCGTTTTTCTCTCAAAAACGGTGAGCGTATAAGGAAGCAAAAACACATGTCTTCCTCCCTTTATTACTTGATTTTGCAGTTTACTCCTAAGACAAGTATCCATCTGGGGTAACGTGGCAAATGTTAAATTTTTGAACTAATTAAAAAAAAATACAAAATCCAAAGAAACAGCACAATTATGATCACAACTGCATTCATGACATAGAAAGCGGGAAGCAGTCTCTAGTTCATCGTGATCCTGGTAAAAGGAGTCAACGTTTTCTGAAATAAATGCATTGACTGCCACTCATGTTCATCGTTGTAAGTTTATTTAAGGACATAATTATGAGGCTATGGTTAAATTTTTATCCCATCTATTTTTCAAAACGTTCACCGAAATGCATTAAAACATGGGAAGTTAAATTAGAAATAAAACCGGGAGACAAATTTTGACCATATACATTTCGAGTTAAATTTTTACCACTGGCTTATACAGTGAGAGGCGTCAAGGCAGCGTGGCTGGACCTCAGCACAGTACGCGTGAGGTTTCTACTAATAATGAAGCTTCATGATAACTGAGAAGTTATATCTTCAACTCAGAAGGACAACAGAGTTAAAAACCACATGCATTAGGGAATAACGTGTTCTTCAATCAGCATGTCGTCTCCCACCTGAAGTCGGCTCCTGCTCGTCTGCCGTTCTCCGGAGTCCCAGGGTCTGGACACATGTCAGAGACCAAGGCGACACCTCCTTGGCTCACTAGAGAGAGAGAAACATTATTATAATTTTACGTAGCTGTTGGGGAAATACCCAGAGAATACATTTACATTAGGCAGATTTAGTTCGTAAATGACTGTAACTTAAAATACGATTTTTAAAAAGAATTCAGAGAGTTTAACTACATTAAAATAAACCTTTATTTTTATTCCTAAAGAGACTCCTTATTCGGTGAAAAGATATCAACGTTTTTGGGGTTCGAAGCTTAATTCTATTGAAGAGGTTGAAATTTAATTAAAAAATCAAAACAAAACAAAACTCAAGCATTTGCTCAACATGATAAACCTCACGACAGGTCACACTTAACGGCACAACGCAAAGGGCAGTGTGGCAGAACGCCTACGTTTATACCGAAGGAAGTCTCCTTCGTCCCGCACGGATGAAACAGAGATGTTCACTATCTATCCAGACCTAGACAGCAGCTAGTTTCAATACAATCATCTATTATACTTCACACATCGAGCACATTCGATGCTGAACTCAAAGAGCTGTACTTTTCGTGCATAAAAGTGATTTCTCTCCCGAATCAGTGCCCCTGAGAGCCTTTCCTCTTGGTGGGATTTTGTACAGTCACAGAATAGTTTTCAAAGGAATCATCGGCTTACTAGACAAAGTGGCTGCCACTCCAACACCCATGCTGCCCTATCGAATCTGTCTACGCCATCTGAAGCCGGAGTGAAAGCGAGCCGGTCTCTATCAGCTCTCGGGATGCACTCCTACAGACCTGCCCTCATGGCACGGGATTGGCTCACAAGTCGAGCGCTGAGCAACCTTCTGGAAAGAGAAATGGAGTTGGCTTTTCTCAGTATCACTTAAAAATAACCGAGTACGCTGGGAGTGACATCAGCAAGATGGCAGACGAGGAAGCTCCGGGCCCTAGTGTGCCCACGGAAACATCGGATAAACAACCACAGACTAAAATAACCATTCGAAGATCCACAGCAACCCAGCACATGCCCGGGAAAATAAAAGCCACACTCGCCGTGCTAGAAAACTTGATGGAATTTTACTTGTCCTTGTCCCGCACCTTCCCTGACATGGCACAGTGCGGTTAAGAGGAAGTAGCACTTCCGGTTCCCTCCCTGAGGACGGAGCTGCCAAGAGGAGCTCGTCCGCAAAGCCCTGGGCTGTCTGTGAGCAGCTGGAGGGACTGGTGTCTGTCTCGCCGGACTGGGAGCTCAGATGGGGACTGTCAGGGGATGCCATGGGAGATGATGGTGGACATGGCTGCCCTTAAAAACTGCACAGGGACCGTAGCCATGTGGGTACCTGGGAGCAAGAAATCACAGGCAGACGAATGCGACAAAGCACCTAAGACCCTGAGAAGAAACTGGGGTGAGGGTCTTTGGGAAATTATTTTAGAGCAGCATGCGGGCAGAGGGGTGGTGGGGAGGGGCGGCGCGGTGATTGCACGCAGAGACCCAGACAGGACGCACGCCCAGGAAAGATCTGGGATCTTAAGGCATCATTTTAGGCTGCCGTCTAGGCCCAGTGGCCCACTAGTTAGCAAAGCTCTTCTATGTCACTATGCAGACTGGGAGAGGTAGCTGTCTTTTTTTTTTTTTTTTTATGCGCAATTGTTGACAAATATCACAAGGCATACAAAGAAAGAGGAAAACATGGCCTATTCAAAGAACAAATTAATCTTTAGTCTCTGAAGAAACACATGCACTGGACCTACTAGACAAAGATTGTAAACAACTGTCTTAACTATAAATTTGAGTAAACAAGAGCAGAATACTTTTGAAATTTGAGGAAAGATATAGATATACAAATCCAAAAGCCTCGACAAATTCCAAGTTGGGTGAACTCAGAGAGACCCACAATAAGACACATATTAAATTGTCACAAGACAAACACAGGATCTTGAAGGCAGAAGGAGAAAAGCAGCTCGGGAACCCCAATAAAACGATCAGCGGATTTCTCAGTAAAAGCCTTTTACCAGAAGACAGTGGTTAATACATTCAAGTGCTAAATGAGGAGCTGTCGACTGAGAATTCAAGATGAGAGAAACATTAAGACAGCATCAGACAAGCAAAAGCTAAGAAAGTTAATTATTGCTACACCTGGCCCGAAAGAAACGCTAAAGGGAATTCTTCGCGTTGAAATACAAGGGCACTAGCTAATAACTTAAAGCCATATGAAAATACGTTTTCTGGTTAACTAAATACAAGGAGTATATCATATTAAATTATATTAAATAACACTATTGTGAAAATTACATTAATGATATTCTATATTATATAAAATTATATATGTGATTATATTAAATAACGCTATTGTGAAAATTTGATTTACAACTCCACATTTTTATGTTTTGCAGGCTTTAAAGACAAATGCATAAAACAGGTACATGACGCGTAGAGATGTGGCTTGCGATGCCGAGAGCATAAAGCGTAACGGAGTAGGGCTTTTTGTATGTGATTGAAGTTAACTAGGTATCAATTTAAGCTAGACTGTTATGACTATGATATTATGTGCTATTTCCACAGCAACTACAAAGAAAATACCTATAGAGGGAAAATGAGAAGAGCATCCCAAGGCATCACTACAAAAAAATCAAACACACACAAAGGAAGATACATTAATGGTGGACGCGAGGAACGAAAAGCTGTAAGACATAAAAAACAAATAAAATGCTGAAAATGACCTAAAAGTGCTTGATCATTAATTTCTTCGAACGTAAGTGGAATCTATTCTCTGAATAGGCCAAGTTTTGTTTCTCCAAAACTCATGCATTGAAGTCCTAACCTCAATACCCCAGAACGTGGCTGCGTTTGGAGACGGGATCTTTGAAGAAGCAATTAAATTAAAATGAGGTCATTCTGATGGGTCCTAATCCAAATGACTGGTGTCCTTATGAGGAGAGGTGATCAGGACAGAGACTCGCCCACGCGGAAGATCACGTGAAGACACAGGGGAATAAATTTCTGTTGTTTAAATCTCCCCAGCTGTGGTAGTTTGTAGCAGCACCGGCAGACTAACACACTCCCCAGTCAAAAGACACAGACTGGCAGAAGGAATTTTTAAAAAAAGAATACAGCTCTATGCACAACTGTCTGCCATCTACGAGAGAATCCCTTTAGATCCAAGGACACAAAGAAGTTGAAAGTGAAGAGTAGCCCAGTCCGCGAGCTGGACAGTGGAAAGGTGACTGCCAGAAGCCGGGGAGAAAGGCCTGGAGAATTATCGTGTACAGACATAGAATTTCAGTAGGGCAAGACGGAACTATTCTGGACATGGACGGTGCTGCTCTATTCAGGACAGTGTGAATATGCCTAACGCCATACGCATAGAGAGACGGAACAGTCACTTCCATGTTACACGTACTGGACCACTGGGTGTGAACATTCCGACACGCCGTAGATCTGTACCTCACCAGCAAACCAACTTCCATCAATCTGACAGTTCTACGCTTTCGCCGCCGCCCCCCCATGGGTCACCGTTTGTGCCACATGCGAGGGCAGGGCTCCCGATGAGCAGGCTGTGGTCCACTAGTACGTCTCTAAACCGCTCTCCCAGATTCTACTTTTAATTAGTTAATCCCAATGCGGAATATTACTTCCACCATTTTTTTCTGCCATCATCAGTCAGATGGCTTCTATATTTCTTCAGCAAAATGTTCACTGCCGTGTCAAACGGAGACAGTTTCGTCGAGGGGAGTGGCCGTCACCGTGAGCCAGACGTAGTCGGCTAGAGGGTGCCTCCTCGTTCGCTTACACAGGGCCACACCGGTCTGAGACACAACGCGGAGGCCGAAGCTGGCCCAGCATTGTTCCCCCTTCTCTGTTCTTCAAACAATTTTTAAATAAAAGAGAAAACTGAAGGCACCCATCCGAGATCCATTCTGGATCTTTTTGAAGATGACAAGGTCTCTTATTTATTAAAGACAGTGTGCTTGTGGAGCTTCTGTGATCACACAGGATGAATCAGCCAAGCCTGAATGCCTGACAGGTGGTAGGACAGAACAGAGAAGTGATGAGCGACGAAATGCAAAATCCGGCTGATTTTCTGAAACAGAAACAGGCTTTTATGGGCTAACGGCAGGAAAAACATGGCGATGAACATGGACAAGTCAACAACGAGCTCCATAAACCCAACGATCTATTTCGTCGGCATCATGAGCCATTAATTTCTCTGAAAACTGATGCTTTAAGCTGGACAGAGTCACAGAGGACGGTCTGCTTTATGCAGGGTTCCCAGTGCCTCAGACAGACGCTTCCAAAAGACAGGAAATACTGATTTTAATATCATTTAACTCTAATTTGGTTGAATTATAGCTCTTGAAATTTCAGAAGACACATGCCAATGATATTCATAAATATGTTAAACTTCAGTCAAAACCTTGGAGATAAAAATCTAAACTGGAAATAATCAACGGGTAGATTCATTAAGCAAGAAGTAAAATCACGTGAGTGGATGAACAGATACAAATTAGTTGTAAAAGTCTTTGGGTGAACTTTCATTTAAATGTGTACATTATAGTAATGCATACATATTAAAAGACTTTTTCAAAGCATGTCAGTTCTCAGCATCTCATCAGAGCCTTGTGGGGTCTCTATGAGGTATATAAGGCACTATGGAATATGCTTCTCCCATCAAATGATCCTCCTGGAGGACATGTCTTGTGACTGCTAATTAAAATTCAACATGAAGTTCTCTGGAGCAAACTCTACAGCTAGACTCACGCTACAGCCAAGGAAGAGACTAATGCAGAGGAAGCATCAACAACCACAGAACTGCAAATGTGTTTTCTCTTCCTGATGATTTTCCTAATAACATTTCTCTTCTCCAGCTTACTTTATTGTACAAACAGGATACGACGCACATAACGAAGTATGTTAATCGATGGTTTATGTTATCAATAGAACTTCTGGGCAATAGTGGGTTATTAGTAGTTACGTTTTGGGGGAAGCAAATAATATACGCAAATTTTTGACTGTGTAGGGGGTTGGCACCCCTAAGCCCCCCACATTGCTAAA